ATAGCTCATATTATCTGATGCATTTTCTATTGTGTGTATATATATATATGTGTGTACTGACGTAATATGTATATATATTATAATATGATATAATATAATATAATATAATATAATATAATATAATATAACATAGCATAACATAATATAACACACTATAGTATAGTATAATATAATATAGTATAGTATAATACAACACAATATTTGTAATATTTCCCGGCCGGGCGGCTCTTCAGGATACGGACCGACTCGGCCCTTGGGCGACATGTTCAGCATGGCCTCGTAATGCCAGGATGGAAGGCTCAGTGTGTAGCGTAGCAACGGACCGCCATGGTTCGACCGGGCTGTTTAATTCTATACTTATCTAAGATGTTAGCTTTACTTCGGTAGAAGTCTCTTGTAGGATCTTAGAGGCCTCAGGTTGACTCCACCCGGCACCCACAGAACAGAAACCACACTCCCAGATGACCTGCCTCCAAAGCGGCAGCATCGAGGACATTTTCTGCGAGGTCGAGCCTCAAGCTGCGATGCAACCCTCTGAAAATGGTTGCCGGAAACGGTGCTCTTGAGGATTAGCTGGAATGATGAGAATCAACTTGAGAGTCTTTCGAGAGAGAAGGGTGACGGCAACCCCGGCAAACTGCATGATAAGCACAGGGTAAGATGCATCCGTCATCTCCGCCACAAGAGCAGCCTACCTTCAAGCTGAAACACCGAAACTGCAATATTCTCATCGCACAGCCCAGCTCAGAGCACTGCGACCGGATATTCGCTTGTTCGGAGAGCGCCTCCAAAGACAACGTCTGTCGATTTCTGCTTTGTCTGGGGTTTCGGTCTTTCCTGCTCCCCTCTCTCCTCAATATGTCCTGACACTTCTGTGACGGTCAGACAGATGAACATTCGGAAACCAACTTCGAAAACCAGGAGAGCCAGTCCAGCAACGCATGCACGCCCATTCGGGACGACAAATTCGCAACCACGAGAAGCAAATTCAGAACACTCCGGCACCTTAACCACTATATGTGGATGTGCCACACATTGCCGCCAGTGTGTCCACTGCACGCGTGCACCCAAACGCTAGAAGACTTTCCATTTTACGAATTGCTTTGTTGAATCCCTTGCGTGGGCTTCCGAATCAGTCCACTACAGCTGCTTGTCGGGATTTGCTTGTCTGACTCTCAGTTTTCGGAACCACTGTTTTATCATGAACCAACGATGACCAATGCATGCCTGTACGATCCTGTACGTAAGCCGCACATTTCCAATCGTCACTCCACCCCAAACCCCTCTAGGCAGCATAAGGAGTCTGAACCCGAAGCCAAACCTGATGTGCTAAGATGGCGCGCCGCATGCCACACATGGAGGGCCCCTTCGGAGTTCAGCGCACAACGTCGCAGCCTGACCAGGGCTTATGCTCTCAGACGCCGGTTCGTGGTTTGCCGCAGTCGGACTGAACTTGACTGGACCTTCCAATACCCAAAAGTAAAGCGCAGGCATGCGCAGGCTAAGCAAACCTCGGAAGATAACGGAGAGGCATTGCTTTTGCGTCCCTGTGGTGGCACTTCACCTCACATGCGCATCTTGGGCTTCTGGCCCAAGTACAGATTGCGCTCACTTAGTAGCAGCACGAGGATGCAGGAGATGGCGGAGAGGTTGAATCCCGCTCGCCAGCGGAACCACCAGGCAGGAGTGATACGGAAAGCACCGGCCAAGAAATCGAAACTGAGCAAGCCAGCAAACCCACTCAACAGCCACAAGGCTGCCTCGAAGGGCAGGGCCGTGCTGAACACGGAGCCAACCCAGCCGAAAAAGACGAAGACTGCGGGCGCACTGAAGCGGCAGAGGTAGTAGAGGCTCATGTACTCGCTGCGCTTTGGCACCCCGATCTCTGCCAACTGCATTCCCCAATGCATGGCTCCAGCCGAAGAAAGGAGTGCACCGGCATAGTGCAAGGACCAGTTCAAGCTTAGACGCGACAAGTCTGCTTTCGTGCTCGGGATTTCGACCTCCTCGGACTCCTCAGTGTCAGCGTCCAGGAAGTGCACTGCCAACGAGCCCACGCCCAGTGGAAGCAGCAATGCTGCTCCCAAAGCAGACATCTGACGAGGAGGTCGCTTCTCCTCCTTGGCCCATTCCGGCAGATGCCAGACGCGGTGATCCTTCTGGGTGGCACTTTGCCCGGTGGCAGCTTTGCGCACGTCCAGAGCCCCGAGAGCAAGCGCACTCCTCGTGCCCCTCGCACGCTCGCAAAAGGCCAAGCACCTGGCCCACCTGGCCCTGGTGAGACTTGCCATGGCCACTCCGCGCTCCAACGCTCTAGGGCAGTCTATAGACTCCTACATATTACATAGACCATGCGACACGACGGTATTGCAGAAACGATGCTTCAGACTTTGAGCCACTCGTTCTTCTTGCACGTAGCCCGACTGGTGCTTCAGGGTGCTGGCCTCAGACAATCCTAGTGAGGTGTTGGGTTGTGCCATGATCCCAATGAGTAGGCTCTTGCATCGACAAGACTGGGAGGTTGAAAAAGCTGGAGGATTGGCTGCTCCACGTTCCGGCTGTCACTGTTCTCGCCAACTCAAAGACGACGACCAAGCCGTGTAACTAGCAATACACTCAGTGGCCCTACCAAAATCTCAGAAACACTCTGGGAAGCCTGGTTGCTCAAGGTAACGCCACCCAGGAGTACTGTAACACTGTACAACTGAACTTTGCCTTTTCCAAAGACCATCGCAAGCCCGAAGATGCGCAAAAGTGCACGGATGATCCGAGCTTCCAGCTGAAGGTCCAGGGCTGCAGCCTGCAAGGATGATGGGATGATGGACTGCAACGTGTTTTTTGTGTGCATCACCAAATGCCTCGATCGAGGCTTCCACCTTCAAACTATAGCAAACTATGGCGCCTTGCTGGTTCAACTTGGAGCATGATTCCGTAGCCCTAGATGAACAACTGCTTCGACAATCCGTTGCGCACATGGACGACTGGAAAGGGAATGCCTGAAACATCCTGGCTAGCAACATGCTTATCTGGTAGACAAGGACACGAACGGTGCAATACTATTGGGCTCTGTACTGCAGCACCCGATCGGATAAATCTAAACTCCCGTAGTGGCAAGTGAGACTGGTACAATCACACACAGATCCAACGTGATGCAATCCCAGCTCTATGACCCCACCTCAGGTGGGCGTGATGTGAGGAGGTCTGCCAAAGCAACCCCACCTGGGTTGTAGTGGGGCTCAAGCGGAATTGGGTTCGAATTGGATTCAACCGCGGGATCGACGTTTTGCTGCCTGCTGGCAACGCTTCCATCGTGCAGCCATGCAGGTCGGGACTGGAACAAAGGCCTCAGGCATCACGAGATCCATCATTTGCAGGCCTGCAGCGAAGAGCAAAGCAGCTGCAACCTTTCGTCGCGGGGCGTTGCTGGGCGCGAACGGGTCGCCAGGCTGGGAGTTGCGGATCTTTGCCGCGGTTTGGCGGGACTTTGCCGCTCAAGGGTGTCCCGGCGGGTGATGCGCTGGACGACACGTGGGGATCCTTTTGGAGTTCCCCCGGGGCTGGTCTTCGGGGTTGTCCGAGGGGTGCTCGGAGTTGCGCGCGAGGGCTCAGAGCTGGGTTTCGGGCACGCCTTCGGCGTAGCCGAACCCTGCGCCTGCTTGGCTTGCGGAGTCTGGAAGGAACCCGGTGTTCGGGCCCGCCTCGAAACGTCCCGGGGCATCGAGGCCTGTGAGGGACCACGGGCAAGGATCCCTTTCCAAGCCGCAAAGAGAGACCGGAGGAAGGTAGTCGGGGTCTCAAAGCTCGGAGTGGAGCTTCGCCTTCGTCCGAGCCCTGTCCCAAAGCCAGTCTCGTTTCGGGAGTCTGTCTCCCGAAAAGGTGCAGGCGATACACTTTCTACTCGACCGCTGACACTGCCCTGTTTCCTGACAGTGCTTGCAGCAGGGCTTGTGTCGCCAGTCCTGCCCACACACCACTGTCACAACAACCCTGAATGGACGCAAGCCGGATGTGCAGGCTAACATTTCAAAACATGTGAGAGCAGCAAGTCCTGTTTGCAGCCCCAGAGTCGAGCCCTCGGCAAGCATGCCGCACATGAGGTCAGGAACACAATAGTCTATCGCTGGTCACCTCTTTCCAACTCCAATCGCACTTGGCTGGAAGAATGCGTCTGTTGTGGCTTTTGGGCTGAAGGCTAGGCTGCATGTAGATTTCAGAACATTTCAGACAAGCGCTTGTAAAGTCCAAGTCCTCATGCCGTGAGGTTTTGCAGGACGAGCTTCGTGCCACAGCAGGAATCCGAATCGTCCGAACGGTCCTGTGGCAAATGCTTTCTGACTCTGTCCTCGTTGAAGCAATGCTGGTACTAAGTCTGGAATGCTTTCAACTCATCTCTTGTGATCTCTGCAAGGCTTGATGATACTTCAGGCAATGGCCGCATACCGTACATGGAAGCGTTGACCTCACTACATCCACCGTTTTTCCCCTGCCATAAGCGGCCTGCGACAAAACCAGCTCCAGCAATGCACACCGTCTTGCCAGGCTACCATAGAAGCTTTCGCCCTGCTCCGTGGTCGTAAGATCTACTCTTGCCCGAATCGATCCCAGCACCACCTCGGCTGTTTCTGCTTGTGGAGCTCCCCCGACATGCTCGTACTCTGGGTGCTGGTAGAGCTGCCCGGGCCGGTAGCCTGAGATCACACCAGACCATGCCTGTTTGATGCAGCTCCTACTACATGAATGTACCGGAAATACGACGAAATTACATCCTTGAGCACGCATAAGAAGCGTTGGTCAGCTTCTCCAACCCTGGAGCCTTTACTTGCTGAAGTCGTGCACACGTGAAGCGAATCCGTTCGTAATTCAGGTCTGCCAGGAGTCGTGTGAGGGCGAGGGTGAGCGTCGAGGAGTTGTGGCAGCCTCCACATATGTCCGGCTCAACCACATGACTACCGAAGTTTCCTTCAGCCTGCGGGGTCCCGATTGCAGGGAGAAGGAATGCTTAAACCCGCATAATTAATACCGATGCCTGAACCAGAGACGGCAAGCCCGTCGACACTGTCACACTGTCGAGAAGTTGAAGCCTTTGATGGCCGCCCGGGCTCACTGAGCGCCCGAGGCGTAGCTGGCAGGCTCCCTTGCTCCCGCAAGCGCCTGGGCTGGAACCCCGCTGCCTCCATCAGCCCCGCAGATTTCAACAGAAGGGCGCTGACTGCGTTATTCTCGACTCTTGCGAATCTAACATGGCTTCCTCCCGAAACAAAGATAGAGAGTTTAAACTCCCACTGACTGTAGTTTACTGCAGAACCTCCCACCTCCCGTCCCGACACTACTGGCCGCAGTTTTGGAAGCCCCGCTACTGGGGATCTGCAGTGCTAGACGAACCCGGACCTGCACCGCTCCGCGTGAGTTCTGCTTGCCACGAACTGTTCGCTGCGAAATTGCAACCGTTTGAAGCTAGCAACGCGGGCGGCGAGAAGGTCCGTGAAGTCTGCGCATGCAGCAGTCGCTCAAGAGCCTCCGCGGAGTGCATTTGCTGGTGGCTGGTGGTGTTGTGTCTGCGTGCATGGGGGCTTTTAGTCGATCACTTTGGAATTTGAACTACCCGTGCTTCTGAATAAATACAACATGTACCAAAGAGCACAGCCACATCCACACCTAAGCCCTAAGCTCATCACCCGAAAGACATGTAGATTCTGTCAACCAGACAATCAAGCAATCCGTCAATCAATCAACCAACCAACCAAACTAACTAACTACATGTAACGTACTCAAGCCAACTCAGCAACCCACCCGCCTAACCAACCGACCCAGCCCAACCCGACCCACCAACCAACCGACTCACCGACCCACCGACCCCGTCCGCTAGGTTCTTCTGAATGTGCCTGTATGTGCACATGCCCACAAAGAGACATCCGCGCAGTGTATGTGTGTCTATGTGTATGGACGTACCTATCTATCTCTACAATTTTACCCATGTGCGGATTTCTCAAAAATAAAGATTCACTCACGGGGCGGGACTCGGACAACACAACAAAGCAACATTCTTCATTTGGCCTTTTGTTCCAACTGGCATCTGCCTTTGTCTCCCTGGGTTGGATCTCCTAAATACTAAACCTAGTCCAGCAGACCGCCACCTTCTCCTCACGCTGTCGATTCCAACTTCCTTGGCTTAGGTGCTGAAAAGAATGCTGGCTAGACTGCTCCAGTGCTCTAGCTGCATTTCAGCAACATCATAACCTGATCGAGACATCCCACCCGTTTTGAACCGAGCAGCTCTGCACAGTGGACTCAAGGAGACGGCTACAAGTCGTGAGGCCGGCACCCGATGTACAGGCCCACTACAGCAATCGCCCCCTACATGCTCTCAAGTGTGAATGGCTCGTACAGCCGAGTTTCTTTGGGCATCAGCATGTATTGACTGCGCGCGAAGCTCCTCCTCCTCGTGTGCAATGCTTGCCATGAATTGACATGTGCGCCGAGTCCAACGATGGCGGATGGCTTGTTGGGTGCAGAAGGTCTACGACGAGCCGATGAGGAAGCTGTAAATCATCGCTCCGGAGAGACTTCTGATGTAGCCAACACGTTATCGGCAGAGGGGCGGACACGACCAGCGTGCCTTGAAACTCATAATCTTCATGAGATCCAAAACAGTTCCACTAGTCCGGGATACGCCCTGCTGTCGTCAGAATGTATACCACTATGTCATGTCACCATGTGCCACAATGCTTTCCGACCTCTGCTCGAACTCCCCGGGGCTCCAACCTCCAGTTGCTGTTGCTGCTGTATGCGGCGCTGCAAGTTCGCCTTGCGCCTCCCCGGGCGATAGGCGAACTAAAACGACACGATGAGAATGCCTACCGAGATTCTGCGCCTGCCAAGCCCTCGTCTTTGTATAGGGGCAGGCATTACATGTATGCCAAGAAGTTGGCAAGTCGCAAATGACAAAGCGCCAGAGTCTCTGCTTGGTGGGAGCAAGTGAACGGCGCATCACATGTTCTGATCTTCTAGCATCATGACTCGCCACATTGGTGTATGGATCTTTTGTCCTTAAGCCTAAAGTCTTCAATATCGGCCTGATCGCATCTCGATACAGGCGAGACGAGTTGTCCGACGCGCCGGCAGGAGGTGCTTTCCTGGTCAGGGCATCTGCTGCAGTCCATGCCATGCAGGATTATGCCGTCCGTTCGCACAAAGCATTTAAGCGACCCATGTCAGATCCGTAAAAGTCTGACGCGGAGCCCTCAAAGCTGATAGTTCACAGGTTGCAAGCACTCGTGCTCGACAAATTTGCGCGCACTGAGTTCCCAAATGCCTCGCACGAATCCGTGACAGCCCCTTTCCTAACGGATACGCAGGCACATCAGCATGCCAGGCTAATCGGATTGCCGAAAAGTAACCACCTCTGTCCGCAATACGCATGCACGGCTGTCATCGCTCCTTTAATGCTGATCCCTGGGCCGAGTGGCAAGAATTCTTGCAAGCTCTTGGCCCAAGCCTCCTGAAGAATTGCTTGCATCATTGTGCACATCATGCTTGCCATCCATGTGTTTCTGTTAGAATCGGTTCGATATTCCAGTGGTCCAGGATTTGCCGTGACACCTGAGCTGCGCTCGTTCGGTGCCGACAATGCACATGGTAGGTCGAAGCCCCTTCATTCTTGCATGTTCAATCTCAGGAATTGATCCACCCGGGTTGATCTTCGTTAAATGGTTGCCAAGGGCATGTCCAACAGAATCTACGTCTGCCCTGGTCACAGCGCATTTAAATTTACCCTTCAAGGATGCGCCTCCTGGCGCTTCCGCCTCGAGTAGTGGTCCTGGCCACGTACTGAGCGCGTTTGTTTAATTTATCTATTTCGTTTTTCAGAAAATGAAATAAACAAATACAATAAAGAGACCACAGGCACCACTCAAATCTTCAGCGGCCCTCAATCGCGAAGCGACGGCTAACTCTCAAACCTCCGAACTCCACTGAACAATGCCTGCACAGCTCTTGCCTCAGCTTGTATATACAACGAGTATGCATTGAATATGAACTCAGCTTTTTTGCGGGTGTTGGTGGAAGCAAGCCTACTCTGCAGTTCCATCTCTGGCCAAAACCTGTCCTCGTAGAGACGCTCATGTCGGTTTGGCTCGGTGCGGCTTGGATCTGACACAAGGCAGCAGGGCTGGGGATTTGCTCCGAGCCTTTCGAAGCACACGACCGAGGGTTCTAGCCCAAAATTCGGATTGCGAACCGTAAGGGGACGCCGGGAGATTTGCAGATGTTACTCAAGCTAGTGTCGCAGCATTTCTTACTACTGTTTGAAAGTACTGGCACAACAGCACTAGAAATTCCAATAAAGATAAGATAACTCTACCAACAGCATCAAGGCCAGTGCAAGCGTACCTGGATCGTAGCAACAAATAGACCCCTCAGCATCTAAAGTCAGATTTCTTCGTTGCCTGGAAGGACCATCCGGAGTTTCAGCTTTTTTTTCCCACCCGCCCAGCTGACTATGTCGCACCGCAGGGAACTCGTTCGACGATTCTGCCCAGTCTTCAGCTTTGAGTCTGAGGCTAGCCTTTCCACTGCTTCGTGGCCTTCGTTGGTGCTGTGTCTCTGGGCGAGGTTTTGCGCGGATGTTTTTTGATGTTTTGATTCTTGAGCGCGGATTTTTTGGCCGACAGTACATGTGAATTCGTGGGTGGATTTTTTGAGGGAGATAGAATCTTCAGAAAATCCGCGGCAAAATCCGCGAGAAAATTCGCAAACAACTCCGCGAGACAATCCGACAGGGCCATACGACAAGTCCGCGAAAATTTCGTTGCCCAGACAACCAACCCTAACCTTCGGTTCCCTACCACTGGTACGCATACATACGAAGTCCCTTTGGGTCGGCATGAAGCTCAAGCCAACTCCCCTTGTGCGCCCGGAACCGAAACACCCACATGCAGAACCCGTACCTACGGATTCTGGACATTGCAAGCGCGGACGATTTAATGCGTCGACCATGAACGAAAGTAAACAAAACATCAACCCAGAAAGAAACTCTCTCGACCGATCCATCTGTGTGTCTCCTTCTCTCTCTCTCTCTATATATATATAGATATACATATGTATATATATATATATGTAAATACGTATATACACACAAGTGCAAGTACATCTACACGTCATACGACATGCGTGCACGCACACACACACATGCAAAAAAACGTTAACAAACCCATACACGGTCTGTCTGGCACCTGAACCCTACAAACAAACATATACAAGCTTAGTATTTATATACGTCATACGACATTTGTACGCGAACACACACACACAGACAGACAAACTTGGATTGACCCAGGCGGTATGATCGAAATCATATCTGGGTTAGCAAACCAGAATCATCTTTCTCATCTCTTCCTTTCCATCTGGTTGATCTTATCCGACTTGCTTTTCGATCTTGTCCGGCTTGCACTCAAGACTTTGTCTGATCTGTGCATCATGTCGCAGGTACGTTTACACGAGAGGGCAGGTAAATGAGTACGCGGCCTTCGTGGCGAGCGCACGCACTCATCTTACTGTACCTGCCTCTCCGCTGGCCCCTTGCTGTTCGACTTAATCGTTTTATCCCTTAGCGTCAGGGTGGTACATACACACACACACACAAACGCACACACACACACAGACACAGACACAGACACAGACAGCTGCCCCTGTGACGGGGTAACACGCTTACCAGGTGTGCCAGTTCAAACATGAGCAACATGCACTCTACACCGTCCAACATTCGCAAACCGCATTCATGACATGACGCTGCGAAGGCTACACATTCCAACATCGGCAAACCTCACCCATGACATGAAGTTACAGGAAAAACACATTCCTGCATTCGTTATCTGGCTTTTGTGTTATCTTGTCTCTGTGGTGTGTGCATGAGTGAGGGAGGATTTAGCGAGTCAGGAGGGTGAAATGAGGGGGTGATGGACACACGTGCAAAAACTATCACAAATAATGGAGATGTGCGCCCCTGGTTTTTTCGTGGTGCCTGCATGAGTGAGGGAGACTTTAAGGAGACAGGACGGTGAAATGTGAGGGTGATGAGCACGCACGCAAAGAGTACACAACGAGTGGAGAAGTGCGCTCCCTCTATGCATCTTCTTCCTGTAGTTTTGATATGCGAATATGCGAGTTCGCAGGTCTGAGCCGCAGCCCCCCTATATCGCTCCTTGCTCAAGGTCGAGAGTTTCGCAAGCAAAGCCATAGCCACGCTCTCCCTTATCCTTGCATTGCATGTAGGAAAACACACTTGACACTTCACGTATGCGGCTGTCATTCTCCAGCGCATGTTGTACAGTGGAAGAGCATACTTCACGTATGCTGCTGTCAGTCTCCAACGTGCATTGTATAGTAGGGCAGCATACGTCACGTATGCTGCTGTCATTCTCCGCAAGTTGTATAGTAGGAGAGCATACCTCATGTTTGCAGCTGTCATTCTCCAATGCCAGTTGTATAGTGGAGGATGTTGCATTTAGGAGCACGAGTAGACACTGTCCCGACATCTTTCAGCATTTATATAGGAGGGTATTTTGGAGAATCTGTCGTGCTCATCCTTCTGGCCACTGAACTTTCTAAATAAAGCTGGGGCATCAGGACTGGCACTATGACAGATATCCAGCCCAAGTACACACTTGGATTGACCCAGGAGGTATGATCGAAATCATACTTGGGTTCGCAAGCCAGAGACATCTCCTCATCTCTTCCTGTTCATCTTTTCGATCTTATCCGACCTGCACTCAGCATGTTTGCAGATCTTTGCATCATTTCGCAGGTACGTTTACACAAGAGGGCAGGTGAATGAGGTCCCCAAGCGCGCGCCGCCTCCCACAGAGCCTTTTAGATTTTAGAGCCGTCTACGACAAAAAAATGGAGAGGGGTCCCCAAATGCGAGTACGCGGTCTTGGTTGGCCAGCGCACGCACTCATCTTGCTTGCATCTCCGCTGGCCCTGTTTTATCCCTTAGCTTCGGGGTGGTACACACAATTACACACACACACACTCGCATGAAAACAAAATTAACAAACCCATACTCTCGGTCTGTCTGGCACCTGCACCAGCGTGGACCGATGTAGCCTTCAGCTCGGCCTGGAGTAGGCAGTGCGATGAAGCGAGTACATGTAGAGTGGCTGTGTATTGGAATGGAGTAGCAGCTCCTCGGGGAATTAATCAATTAATCTGCAGGATTGTGCAAGTACGAATGCCGTCTGCTGCAGCTTCGTGGCCGTGGCCGCAGGCTTCATGACAAACCAAGGTGTCTGTGGCAACATGTTTGCACACCTAAGTTAGACTCGATTAGCCGGAAACAACTCTCAACTTGGTCTGTCCATGGCGCGTGCTGCATCATGCTACGTTCTCCCCAAGTGCGTACAAACGCCAGCAAAGCTGAACGATCGAACAACATTCAACCCTCCGGGCCCCAAGAACCGACACTTGGCTCAAAGCTTCCCCTCGCTGTCGGATACAACAAGAGCCTCCAGCTTCTCCTCCTTCTCTTTGCGCAGACGAGACAGCCGTGCTTCGCGCTCCGAGCCCCACTTGAAGAGCTTCTCCACCTAACGTGAGACAGAGTGCGCTGAACAAATGGCACGATGGGGTGGCATTCATTAAGTCATTAACAAAGTAACACCGCCACAAAGGGAAGAATAAACACTAAGTGCCAATTCAGAATCGCCACATACTCCGAGCGCGCTCTCCTGGGAACATGGACGACTCTTATTGACTTGTTAATTTGAAACGGCAAGCCTCAAAGTAGTTTGAACGTCCCTTGGAAGGGCATCAAATTTGTCGCTGCGGGTGTTGTTCAGCTGTTTCATGTATGCTTGTGCACGCACTCGTGCGTGTGTGCCAATGCATATACAAATACGTGTGTGTGTGTGATCTTACACAGATGCAGCTCTCACTGTCAAGGGTCACACTGCCACCTCGTCGTTCCTATCTCAATACACGTCAACCACCGGTCTGATAACTATACAGGGAATCTTGGTAACTGGTTGGGAATCATGGAGGGAAGAACAGGGAGAGGGAGGGAGGGAAAGCGAGAGAGAGAGAGAGAGCGTGAGAGGGAGAGAGAATCTGCTCACCAACTTTATATTTACCTCATAGCGAGTTTAGCCAAGGGAACCACTACTGGGAATTGCAATCACGCTTGTCCAATGGCAGCATGCTTGCATCTATATCACCGTGAAGCAACAGCAAGCAACAGCAAATTCAGCTTCTTTTTGGTGACACCTGGCCTGCACAGCTCAAACTACTCCTACTCCTTTGCTATGGAACGGCTCAAACTCCTCCATCCAAGTTGTCTGCCTCCACCCCTTGCCAAGACAGCTGCGGAGTGGCGAACCAGTAGGAGCCAGTGATGACGCCACCAGACCTGTCGATATGCAACATCGTTCGATCTCTGAACCAGTGCATGCCATCCATAGCTCCATCAGGGGGCGTCTGGACTGGCGTGTTTGCTTGTGTCAACATCAGAGCGCCCTGAAGACTGACGGTGTAGGCGTGCACACACGAACCTGGCCAGCCGTATCTAAGTATGGGGACTGAGCTCTGATCCTTCGGACCGTGCCGGGGCTTGGCCCCACCGGGGCAAAACCCCCACAGAATAACATCGAAGGGTGGGATGCTATCGATTGCACTTTCTATCCTGCTCGTGAAGTTTTCAGCGAGAGTCACATCGTCTTCAAAGATCGTCGCACATGCCCATTGCTCGGCGAGCATGGTCTCATAGATGCGCCTATGACTGAGTGCACAGCCTTTCTTCGCATCGCACGGGCACTTCTTCATTCCAGTCTCCTGGGCCAGCTGTTCGTCTGTGCCGAAATTGACGGCTGGCCAGAATTTGAACCTTCCTCGCAAGCCTTTCTTGCCGAACTCGCGCAAAATGTGATTGCGTCGTGCTTCCCCTCCTGGACCCTCGAGATTGACGACCAGCCTGAAACGACAGGAAATGTGATTGCAATGCAGGCCTTCTGATTAAGTTTGATGTGGGTTCAGCCTGGACGGCAGGTAAGCTTACTTTGCCGTCTAGAAGAACTGGACAGGAAGTGCGGCAAAGGCACGTGTGATCGAAGGGGTTGCATTTGAACACGGGCGGTATGTTCAGCGTAACATCGTGGCTAACAGGTTGAGCAAACTCAACATCTTCCGCAGCTGCGAGTAAGCCTCCACCGGAGAGAAAACCAGGAGCAGATGGAGCCATACTTCGGACGGCTCCGGCTTTGCTGATCATGATTTTGTCGGTGGGAGACAACCCTGTCTGGCTCCCGTGCAGATCCGGCACATACGCACTAAACAGCGCACCCAGAATGATGGCTGCACTGAGCGCCGGCAGCAATCTCCACTTCATGAGCGGCCGTATAGGACTACAGTGACTTCGGGGTAGGACTGAAGGGCCTCGTTGTACGGGATGCTAGCCGAAACTATCCCCGCTGCAACGCTGCTCCTGTCTGACTCTGTGAAACAAGTTTGACTGTTGAGCCGCTGCGAAAGCACATACCAGAAATCAAACCGCAGGTCCTGGGTTGGGGGTCCGGGGCTGGAAGTCATTCGGTGCTGCTCGTCCTACAACGTCCTACAAGCACCCAGTTCTGCGATTCCTGATAACGCCTGGGCAAGTACTAGCAACCTCTAGACAGAGGCTAAGGTACGTTATCGACGTCAATGTTGGAGGATGGAGAAAGAAAGGTCCACTGTAGGTGCGGATGGTGCAAGCATGCACGACTAGTGGCAAAAGGGTTGCAGCCGAACGACCTCCGTCCCGTTTGCCTCCGTTTGCTCCACCATGTATTCGCTATGTATTCCCATCCCGGTTACGCAGCTGAAGGCCGCTGCTTGCAAGGTTTGCCCGTGACGGAGCAGCATCCTTCGTTGAGAACCCGTTGGATTTCGTGCGCCTGTAGGAACACATTGGCACATCCCCCCATTTCCTCTGCCATCGCGTCGCCATCCTGAACCCTCTACACGAGTGGCAGAAGTGTGAAACCGGCAAGCCTCACTCTGAAGGCCTGCATACTCTTTGTTTTATGTTACACTCCACCTTCCAAGTTGTCCGCCTCCACCCCTTGCCATGATAGCTGCGGGGTGGCGAACCAGTACGAGCCTGTTATAACTCCACCAGATCGGTCGACGTGCAGCCTGGTTTTGTCCTTATACCAATGCATACCATCCATGGCACCATCCGGCGGAACCACGGCGGGTGTATTCGCTTGAGTTAACACAAGCGCACCCGATAGACTGACAGTGTAGGCATGCACACACGAACCTGGCCAGCCATATCTAAGTATGGGGACTGAGCTTTGATCCTTGGGGCCATGACGCGGCTTGTAACCACCGGGGCAAAACCCCCACAGAATAACGTCGAACGGTGGGATGCTATCGATGGCACTTTCTATCCTGGTCGTGAAATTCTCAGCGAGGGTCACATCGTCTTCAAAGACCGTCGCGCATGCCCACTGCTCGGCGAGCATGGTCTCATAGATGCGCCTATGACTGAGTCCACAGCCTACCTTTGGGTCACATGGACATTTCTTCTTCCCGGTTTCCGCGGCCAAGCCTTCGTCTGTGCCGAAATTGACGGCTGGCCAGAATTTGAACCTTCCTCGCAAACCTTTCTTGCCGAACTCGCGCAAAATGTGATTGCGTCGTGCTTCTCCTCCTGGACCCTCGAGGTTGACGACCAGCCTGGGTTGTTTTCACTGCTTATTATAGAGTGATACTCGAAAAGGACTCTGGCAAAGCCAAGCCGTCTATCTGATCAGTCTATCTATCCATCCATCTGTCTGTTACAACTATTATTGTTTATAGGAAGCACCCAGGCTCGCAGCCATATGGGCAATGGGCCGCGCTTCAAGTTCGAAAGTGTCGCCTGGAGCTTGACGAACCCTGGTAGATAGTTGTACTGGAGCCGAGCAACACATGATCAAAGGGGTTGCACCTGTGAACGGGTGGTATGTCCAGCTCCACTTCGTGGTCGACTGGCTGAACGAACTCGACATCGTCCGGTTGAGAAAGAAAGCCTGCCCCGGACAGTAGCCCGGCGGCAGCAGATGCTCCACTTGAGACGAACCCGGCTGCAGTGACAACACGATCAGAGACACCAAGCTCCGGCTGCAGTCCCTGCAAGTCAGGAAGATAAGACGTGCAAAGGACTCCAGCGATGACAGCTAGGCTAAAAAGCACAATCACACGTGTTTTCATGGCACATTTGCTTCCCACCCAAAGCTGCTTGTGAGCTGAAAGGATCCCCGCTGAGGACTCCCCGGCTTGCTTGAGAGAACCGGCTGCAGGAATCATGACTTTGAGCATGCCGGTGTCCTTGCATGTCAAACGGCGCAGTCAGCACGGGCAGTCTCAGAAGAACGAAGACATGCTGAATTTGCACATTGCGTGTTGATCGGTCGCGATAGCTGGGGAGCAACGCCACAAGACAACCCGCGTATTACCGCAGTCAAAACTGGTGCGCAGTTGAGAAAGCTTCTTGCACAACCATCTGCCGCCAAGGCTCTTCTGAGCCGCGAGCTTCTCCGCAGTCTCTGCAGCTAGAGCTGCAAGCTGCGGCGAGATCTGATCCGCTTGATCAAAGCCAGCGCTTTCGGCCGTTGCAGTAGCTGAGGTGGGTGACGGTGATACGCCAGGTATGTAGACAGTGCTCCTGGCGTGGGAGCTGGCACAAGAATCCCGCAACCACATGAAGCAATGGAAATGACTATTCCCGTTCACTGAGAACTGCAGGACATCTAAGACCTGCCATTGACCTAGCTTTCCGGGCCTAACAAGCCAGAACAATCTTTTTCGCACTCTCCAGCAAGAGAGCATCGATGCACTGAAACTTGTCTGATGATGCTTCTCATGCTGCCGATGCTGGTCATCCTGATAAACGGCTTCGGCTTCATGTTTCGATCCGCATTGGCAGCCGCCTCCGACCTCGGGATGGTGGAGTGGCGGGGTTTGCCGCTGTGTAGCAGAGGACGGAATCCGAGTCGTTTTCAACTTATACTTACCCCTGCAGCGGTGCCATCCCCCTGATCCGGCATCTGTGCCCCATGCACAGCTTCAAGGCGGCCCCTAAGCCACGGCAGAACTTGGGAGGATTGCGGTTAAAGCTTCTTTGAAGCGTTCGGGCATCCGCCGGATCACCCATCTAGTTCTGAAGCAAAGTCAAGCACCAGCACGGGTCTTCTCTATCCCGTGCCCCGTTGAGGGCTTCTATACGACAATTGCTGCTGGCAGAGCACAACACGGCATCTCCTTTCAGCACCCAAAGCAGATTCTGTATAGATATGTGGAAAGATACGTCCCGAGTCGCTTGGATCCGTGCAGGGCTGGTTTTTGTCAAATACATTTGGGATGACACGTGCCCGATTTTGTTTCGTCAAAGTCCCACGGCGTGACTCCCGCGACGTTGGGTCAGCCAAGCTGCTTCTCAGCCGCGGCACGGCGGATGACCTTCCGCATGTAATTCTCCTGTGCAAGGGTATCTCCTTCTAACTGGTTCACTGCTCGAAATTGAGCCGTGCTTTAATGGTTTGAGTCCGCAGAGAAGATTCGCACTTGCGGAAACCCGCACCTGTCATGGTTCCCTATCCCCGTTCCGGATACACGGCAGCAGAATTAGTGGTGCGCGACGGTGCTGGAAATCCAAGCAAAAAGACTTTGAAGTCGAAACCTTCCGGTACGTAGATGCACACACGGAGCCATCCCTTTTTCCGCTCAGCTGCGTAGAGCGCCACCCCACGGAACGTCTCGGGCACCGGGGACACAGGCTTGCCCGCATTCGGCACGAAGCAACACGTCCTGCAAAGCTTGGAGCCTTGAGAACCCATCTGTGTGTTTTTGCACCGTGTGGGATTCCCTCTATCGTGAGTTCAGCATCTGGGCACATGTCGGGTAGAAGTCTTTGAGACCATGGATTAGAACAGACAGAAGTCCCACCGAACCGCCACAAAGCTGGAAATGCCCTGACCCAGAACAGTGTCTGCAATCAGCCTGCCTGGCCATTCGAGCTTCGTGCTGCTTCTTTTCCTGGTCCCTGCGGCGGCCGCGCTCCCTCGGCTGCAGCAATTGGGGGTCAAAGTCAAGGATTGAGATGCGCGCGTTTTGGCAATGAGTCAAGGAAGGAACATATTCGTGTTTTGCCCGTTTGCCCTGTCTGAAAAACTCCCGGACCTGAAGCACCGGAGCCAGGAGCATTCCCCATTCCCCTTGCCCGGCTCCACATGAATCCACATATCATTTCAAAGCCCCAGTTGCGCCAGGCTTGCTGTGTAAAGCCGCTCGGTAATCCGATCCACCTCTTCAGCCGGAAGTTTGCCGTGCGGCCTCACTTCGCCAGATCGGAGCTGCGAGACAATCTCTGTTACATAACATATTTCAGATCTTGCGTAGTTGAGCGTGCGTGTGCGTTTGCGTCTGGGTGTGTCTCTGTGTGTGTGTGTGTGCGTGCATGAGGAACTGCGTGCACGTGCACGTGTGCGTGTGCATACATTCATACATATGTATGTATATGTGTATATACATACGTATATATGTATGTATGTATGTATGTATGTGTAGGTATGTGTAGGTATGTGTACGTATGTATACGTATATGTATATGTATATGTATATGTATATGTATATGTATATGTATATGTAGATGTATATGTATATGTATGTATGTATGTATGTATGTATGTATGT